ATGAAAAATGGCTGGGGATGTAGTTCAGGGTGTGGAAATTGGGATCAATCCTTAGTGCCGTGTTAAAAAAAAAAAAATTCTCTACTGAAGTTGCTTCACAACTGGCTTAATTCTGGCTTTACTTTTAAGAAAGTCAAACAGTAAATTTTAATCTGTGATGCACTATGGCTGTGGCTCATGTAACAAAAACGACAGAGAACTCCACACTGTGCCCACAGTACAATGCGCAGGTCACAATGAAAGGGGCCCTAGTACCACCCCAAAAGCCTGGCACGAACATCCATCACTTGCGTTTAAATGGTGTTTGTACCCCTTTTAAAAGTGACTTCCTGGGCGGGGGATGTAGCTCAGGGTCACCACGCCTGCCTGGCAAGGGCAAGGCCGTGAGTTCAATCCCTGGTACCAAATAATAAAAAATGGCTTCCTCCCTTCACAGACTCTGTAATTAACAAAACAGCCTGGTCCCAAGTGGCCAGGAAAGAGACTCAGCTGGCCCAGTGGTACCTCGGGGAAGGCCTGGGGAGCTGGTGGCCATGCCTGACGCAAAGCCCAGCTCCTATCAACCCCATGGCCGCCCTGTGTGATTCTCAAACCCAGCCTCCCCACAGGGACTCAGAACCCCTCTCTGGCTGGTTCCTGAAGGCTCTCCACTGAGGGCTGGTGAACAGCCCGGTGAGCCCAGCTCTCTTTTGCATGGAGGATCCCGTGTGAACAAGCCTCACTCTCAGGGGCCAGGCACCAGAACATAGCGGTCCCGCTCTGTCATCTCAGAAGCTCCTCTGCCCGCTGTGCAGCTCCCGCTCCCGGGCACAGACAGCGGGGACCCCACCACTTGCCCTGGCAGACCACGGGGTGGGAGGCAAAAGTAGCTGGAGTCGTCCAGGACTCACAAGCACCTCCCTGGATGACCAAGGGACCTGCTGTGGCAGAGGCCACTGTGGCCCTGGGAGCAAGGCGAACTCTCGTGCTTAGTCAGTACCCAGGGAGCCTCACACCTGGAGCCTCTAACCCCACACGCCCGTGTCACCCCTTTCTTGGATGTGCGATTTTCCCTGATGAGGGAGAAGTGGCGGCTCCTCCCGCAAATGTGTGGCATCTTCCCTGCCCCTCCAAGTCCCAGCGCCAACGTCCTCTTACTTTAGCCTGCACAGATCTCACTCACAAGCAACACATTTTTCCCTCTTAAAAAGTCCTTTAAATGCCAAAGAACACCTATTACCCGATTACGATGTGGCCCAGGTGAAGGAGAGTGTGCCTTCCTGAACACGTCCGCATTTCCTGCTCTGCCGTGGCCACCAGCTCGAGGTGAGCACCTCGGCCCTCTGGCTGCTCCTCCTTTACCACCCACGTCACCAACTCAACGTCGTACGACCCATCTGTCCTGGCCACATGCACAGGAGCAAACTGGTGTCTCCGAAGAAACCCTGGGTTCTGGGACCACAGCTCGGGGCAGAAGGTTCTCAGCCGCTGAAGCACAGCACTGGCAGGGGAGGGCAGTGGGCTGGCTTCTCACGGCTCAAGTGAGTGAGTCGGGAAGCCGGGGGCCTGCCCTGGAAAGGCCTGCAGACTGATACTCGTTTACGAATCGGGAGTTCTGCCATGCAGAGGAAGAAGTTTCTCAGGATGAATAAGACAAGTGGCACACAGGCAAGGAAGGCAAAAAAGATGACCTCATCACCCTCAGCCCTGGAGACCCTCTCCGGCCTCGGCCCGCATACTGGGTCCAGAGCAGCCACAGCCACCAGGCCCAAGTGTTTTGCACGCACCGCTTGCTGCCAAGAACGGCTCTCCGGGCGCCTTGAGGGGGAACCTGGGCGGCACAGCCTGCAGACAGGAGTGGAGCTGGAACCTTGGCACACGGTCAGAGGAGCCGAGAAGTCTGACTCAGCTGGGCTGAGTGGTGCACACCTGTAACCCCAGCTACTCTGGAGGCTGAAGCAGAAGGGCCACAGATCTGAGGCCACCGGGCAACTTAGTGGGACGATGTCTTAAGATAAAATTTTAAAAAGGACTGGGGATATAGACCACTCGCCTAGCATGTGCAAGGCACTGGGCTCCATGCAGTCTCCAATGCTGGGGGAAAAAAAAGAAAGAAAAGATCTACTTCATTAATGCTGCGATAAGATCCAGAACAATTGCAGTATTACTTTTAGTATTTCTCATAATTTTATAACACCCCATTGTTGGTTACTTCTTGGCTTTCTGCTAACCTCTCAGGTCCCCATTTTCATTTCAACAATCAATGAAACGGTCAGAGAGGACTGACTGTGTGTCTATGCGGCAAAACTGGGGACACACTGGGGGGCTCTGTTCCCACCCCACAGAGTTCTGGGCAGGAGGGAGCAGAGAGGGGGCAGAGGGGGCAGCTGGCCTGAGGACCCCAGGAAGGGAAAGAGAGGTAAGGGGGACCTTGCCAAGATCCCAAAGGTACTGAAAACAGTTCAGTCCCGCCATCACCTGGGCCACAGGGACACTCTCTTCCAAATTCACCTCTCATGGAATTGAATGCTTGTGTAAGAGGCTCGCTTTTCTGACTATGCCAGGGGTGTGCATGTTCAGGCCTTGGAATTTCAAACATGCCCTTGCACAGCTGCAAGTAAACTGGACGGCTCTAGGCAAAACTGAAGCCCGGAACTTCTAACCTCCTTTCCCTCTCAGCGGGAACAGCTGGCTGGGGACCAGGACACCAGGACCTTGGGCACTGACCACCATGTCAGCAGGAGCAGAATGGAAGACAAGGCCACAGGAGATGCAGATTCAGCAAGCAGGGACGGTAGACTTGCGGGGCGGGGGGGTCTTCAGCGCATTGGGTGAACAAACCAAGGACTTTAGAAATAGTTGACCGGGCAGCAAGGAGCCAAAACTCTGCCTCTTGCCTCTCCAACATACCCCCGCTGGCTTAGTGCCCGGGAAGTGACAGATAAGGCACGGCCTGTGAGAAGTGAGTTTCTGGGGATAGATTGATCGGTAACCCTCCTGAATTCACATGTTGACGTTCCAGCCCCTAACGAGAAGGAATCAAGAGATGGGACCTGAGAGTTATGTGGGTGGAACAGGGCCTTGTGATGGGACTAGCGGCTCTGCAGGAGAGGGGAGAGAGTCCTGCCATCCCTGAAGCCAGGAGGTCACAGCAAGAGGCCTCCAGGCCAGGAGAAGGCCTCGGGGCCCAGCACCCGGATCCTGGACTTCCCAGCATTCAAGGCCAGAGGAACCGGCATCTGTGGTCTCCACCGCCCAGTCTACAGGACTGTGTCGCAGCGGGCCTAGCTGACTAAAACTTTTAAGCCTGCAGCAGGCTGGACCCTGAGGAAAAAGACCTGAGGAAAGATGAGCGTTCTCCTTCCTCGTTCTCCAGGTCTCCCCGCAGGACGTGGCTTCCACCCAGAGCCCCGTGCTGTGCACTTCCACGGGGTCAGTGAGCCTAGTCCTGGACAAATGTCCCCCTCACGGGGAGGAGCGGGACAGTCACCAGGCTGCAGCTTACTGTCCCTTCAAGCACCCGGGTTCCGAGGGAGACCGAGGGCAGCAGGCCTGCGGTGGCGGGGAGAACATGCACACGCACACACGCACGCACACACACACACACACACACGTAAAGCCCTGCACGCGGCAAGTGAATCAGGACTGTGAACCGCACCAGTGTCGATTTCCAGGTTTGGATCAGCTGCACCGCTGGCAGAAACTGGTCTCTCTCCACAGCTCCCCATGGACCTACACTTACTTCAAAATAAAAAATCTGAAGAAAATCAGGAGCACAACTATCACCTTATTTTACAAAAGGGACGACTAAAGTACAAAAATCGACAAGGATGGACGTGAGCAGAGAACAGAGCTGCCACGGCACCTCGCTGGCCTTGATTTTCTTGTCTTATCCAGACATGGGCCGGTGTGGAGGACAAGCTCGGCCACAGTGAGCACGGACGGACGGACGGACAGACGGACGGACAGGGAGCCGCACCAGAGCTCCCTGCAGCAGGACAGAACAGGACAGGGTAGGAGCGTGGCCTGGGTGGGACCAGGGGAAAGGGCCGACCTGTGAGTTTCTCTCCAGCTTTCTACTCCACTTACCAGAGGCGGAGCGCCGAGGGAGGAGAACCTCCCAGCTCAGGTTCTCCGTTATGCCGCCCTGCATCCCGCCCTGGTGCTGCCTCAGCCAGCGCTCCCACCACCACGGCCTCCAGAGCCAGGTTCTCAGGAGCAAAGCCCCAGGGCAGTGCTGGGACCCTTGAGGGCCTGCTGGGGTGCAAAAGAGAGGCCCAGGCAGCCCCACTGGGGACCCTGATGGGTGGTGATGCAGACCAGCAGGAAGGTGACCCCCTTCCCCGCACTTCTGGGCCCTCCGACCTGCCGGTCTCCAGCAGCTCCGTACCCGGGCGGCTGGCAGTGCCAGGGGATGCATGTCCTGCCCCACCCACACTGCGGGAGCAGCTCTCACTCCTCAGCCCCCGTCCGCTGCCCAGAGCCCCAGCAGACCTGCTTGTAACAAGCTTCCTGGGCTCCCTTCTCACTTCCCTACTACCCTGCCGGAGACTGACTGAGTTAGATCCTGCTTCTGAGGGAACTCAGCCTAAGATAGGCGGTCACAGGGAACTCCACACCTGGGCACAGAGAGCTACAACTCCAAGTATGGGGAGTGCACCGGGAGTGTGAGGGAAATCGGCAACTGTAGGGCTGTGGGCAGACACCGATAAAAACTCAATTTGCTTGGGTATTACTCATCACACTTATACAAACTGCTCTTCATTTGCCTAATTACCACTGGCCCCAAAATGACCACGAGTGTGTGAAACATGCCAGGTGAAACCCGCATTAAAATGGACTGGGTAGCTGGGTGTGGTGGCGCACACCTGCAATCCCAGCACTCAGGAGGCTGAGACAGGAGGAT